TTTCTTCCAAAACAACTCCACCAAGTCCTTCAAACACCCTTTGTAAGTTGATTTTGTGGACTAATTCAAGAAATAATCGGTTGGTTTTCAAGATTTGTGTAAGATTAGAAGATGGAAGGTTGAAGATTTCTTTCCTTTGCTTGCTAGAGAGGTTCGGCCATGAGAGATGAAGAATAAAGACTATTTGGGTCAAAATTGGACTTTTAGTAGAGTTTAAAGAAAGTTAGGCAAAGTTAGGCAAGTCTACTCCACTCATAATTGGACACTTGTCACTTTATTTTTGCTTAGAGTTATCCTCTTGTCCCTCCATGGTTAATCCATCTAGGTACCCTCTAATCATCTCCTCTAATTAAATCCCTTTATGCAAAATTTAACCTAATTGGCCGAATTTCTCTCACTAAATGCACTAGCGGGTCCCACGTCCAAAGTACACGCCTAATTTCTCATGAGCTAACTTATACTAGAAAAAATGACACAAGGGTGGACAGAGAATTTTCACATTTTCTAGGCATTATTTTAATTCTTTGCCTACATTTTTATATTTTCCTTTAATAGGTTAATTTCCTATATATTTAATCAAAACAATCCTAATTTACTTGTGACAAACAGGTTTTCTTAAATCCCTCATATTTTAATTGAAACCCTAATTTTAATCACTGGAATTGTAAAATCCCTCACGTTTCTCTTAAAAACATCCTTTTATTTGGAACTTATGATTTTATTATAGCCTTACTACCCAATCATTCCATAATAAGTGCAAATGAACCTAGGAAGTAGGGTTTCGCTTTTCGTTTTCAAGTCAGAGCAAGTTAGGGTTTTCACGTGTATCCGTAGTGTAATTATCCGGTACGGAGCGAGGATCAAATTTGGTAGATAAGAGTGACTTTTGGATGAGGAAATATTATATGATTTGAAGTGATAATCATAAGTTAGTGAATTATAAGTTAAAACCCTAGTATACGCGATTTAAGAAAAACGGCTCGAACCGACGTGTACCGTGCATTACCGATTGAACCCACCACTGGACCACTATTTCCTTACCACCACATACCCTTGATATTTTTGCAAAATATTCCCCCCATCCTCAGCCATGTGACCGAAATATGTGGCCAAAATACAAGGAGAAGAAAGAGAAATTTTGGTTGGTATTAGTGGTGACAAGTGTCACTCAACCATGGCTACTTAAACAAGCCAAAAGTCCAACCTTCTTATCCTTCATTTTGCTCCATTTCCCTCCATTTTTCTGCTGCTTGGCTGAGACAAGAGAGGAGAGAAAGAGAGCAAGAAACAAACTTCCTTCTTCTTGAGTTGAGCCATCCAAGTGAGGAATTAAAATTCTAAACCGATTAAAGCGTGAGTTGTGAGCTTGAGAAGCTAGGGGAACCAAGAATTCCAAGAGGAGGTGAAGTATTACTCTTGTAAACTTCATTTGTTGAGGTATAAGGCTAAACCATGGCTTTGGTTCTTTTATTTTGGTTTAAGTTGTTGTATAATTCATGTTGTGGTTGGATTAGTAGTGATACAAGTTGTTATGATGATTTGAAGGTGATATATGTGAGTTAGGGTTTAAGGTATGTGCTGCCTATACTTGCTATATGGATGATATATGTTGTATCTAAGCTTATATAAGTGGTTGTAGTGATGATTGGAGCAAGAAATCAAGAAAGGTTGCATTGAAAACGAAAGATTCCAGATTTCTGGAAAATTTTAGCCCATTCTGTCCGGTTTTAGTGCTCCATGTTATAGGCCTAATTAGGCTTGGCACAAAACATGAAAGTTGTAGAGAATGATATTTTATAGTAGCTTGCAAAATTTCAACTCAATCGGAGCAATACACCCTATGAAAAGACCAAAATACCCCTGCTGCCCTGTTTCTATCCGAACATACTAATCAGCTTCTGTAATTAGTTGTTTTGACCAGGAATACTACTGATTTGTGATATGAATGTGTGGATCTAGACGAACAATCAAGTTGAAAAGGCGGCACGTATGACCCTTCTAAACCCCGAGTTGATGAACTAAGATGAATCTCAACCCACAACTAACGATTTAGTGAACCAACGATCTGGATAGAAGAACGCCACAATCAAGGTGTATACTTGGTTGATAAGTTCAGGTTGAATAACTCAAGAAAACTCTCAAGTATTCAAGCAAAGCTCTCTTGGAAGAGAAAAGTGAATAAACTCACAAATATAATGTAATTTCTGGATCCCTTAACAAGGAGGAAGTAAGGCTATTTATAGCCTTTACAAGCATTAACCCTAATCCCCAAAATTGACTAAACTAACCCTACTAATTAATGACAAGGATTCGGCCAGCCCTAAGAGTTTAATGGACTGACTTTAACTAATATTTAACTATAAAAAGATAAATAATAGAACTAGCTTAACTCTTCCTTAAGCGTGACCACTAGGTGAGGCACGCCTAACTAGCAACAGGCGCTGGAGGGTCTTCTACTTGGAGCAATGTGTAAAGTTTTGAATCTTCATTCTCCAAGCCTTCAATAATCTTTAAATCATCTCCAATGCGGCCTTGGATTGTACTCACAAGGGCTTGTAAAGATTCACGCATCTTCTTGGCACGAGCTCTTGTGACTGGACCACTTGGTACTTGAATGACTTGTGCAACTTGTGTTTGACCAGCCTTGAGCCCCTCATCAATCCCCTCCTCTTGTAGGCGATTTGTCCCCAAATCAAGCTTGTCGTCTGCATGAAAAAGACTCAAGTCAGCCACATTGAATGTAGCATGTACTCCATACTCACCTGGAAGGTCAAGTTTGTAGGCATTGTCATTGATGCGCTCCACAACTTGAAATGGTCCATCACCCTGTGGAAGTAGTTTGTTGCGCCTTTGGTTTGGAAAACGCTCCTTTCTCATGTGTATCCAAACCCAATCACCTGGTTCAAACACCATCTGGCGACGTCCCTTGTTGGCACTTTGAATGTATTGAAGGGTACGTTTCTCAATATTAGCTCTAGCTTTGGTATGCAAATCCCGCACAATCTCAGCCTTTTTCTTACCATCTAGGTTAACTCTCTCAGAAATAGGTAAAGGAGACAAGTCTAAAGGCGTGAGAGGGTTAAATCCATAAACAATTTCAAAAGGTGAAAATTGAGTAGAAGTATGCACAGTGCGATTATATGCAAATTCAACATGAGGCAAGCAATCTTCCCAAGATTTAATGTTCTTTTTAATAATTGCTCGCAACAATGTAGATAAAGTCCGATTAACCACTTCAGTTTGTCCATCGGTTTGTGGATGACTAGAAGTAGAAAAAAGCAATTTAGTCCCTAGTTTACACCACAAAGTTTTCCAAAAGTAGCTAAGGAACCTTACATCCCTATCAGAAACAATGGTACGAGGTACCCCATGTAAACGCACTATGTCTCTAAAGAATAAATCAGCCACATGTTTAGCATCATCAGTTTTATGGCAAGGAATGAAGCGAGCCATCTTTGAGAAACGATCAACTACCACATAAATGGAATCATGCCCTTGTCTAGTTCTAGGTAATCCAAGGACAAAGTCCATAGACAAATCTACCCAAGGTTCATGTGGGATGGGTAAAGGAGTGTAGAGTCCATAAGGATGTACCTTTGATTTTGCTTGGTGACAAGTTACAAACCTTTGTGTATGCCTCTCGACATCCCTCTTCATGTGAGGCCAGTAGAAATGCTCTTGGAGAATTGACAAGGTCTTGGCCACTCCAAAATGTCCCATGAGGCCTCCACCATGAGCCTCTTTAACCAACAAAAGTCGCATGGAGCACATTGGAATACATAGTTTACCTTTGTAGTACAAGAACCCCTGCGACATAGAATAATGCTCACGAGTAACTCGTGGCAAGGTTGTGAAAATCTCACCAAAGTCTAGGTCAGCTGCATATAAATCCTTAATGAACTCAAAGCCAAGCAACTTAGTGTCTAGTGTAGTGATTAGTGTATACCTTCTAGAAAGTGCATCAGCCACTACATTAGTCTTTCCAACCTTATATTTGATGACAAACACAAAACTATCAATGAAAGCCACCCACCTCGCATGCCTTTTGCTCAATTTGGTTTGTGATTTGATGTGTTTGAGCGATTCATGATCAGTGTGGAGTACGAATTCCCGAGGTCTGAGGTAGTGTTGCCAAGTTTGGAGAGCTCGCACCAAGGCCATCAATTCTTTGTCATAAGTAGAGTAGTTCAACGAGGCACCAGTCAACTTCTCACTAAAGTAGGCCACTGGTTTCCCCTCTTGAATGAGCACAGCTCCAATACCTATACCAGAAGCATCACACTCTACTTCAAAAGCCTTGTCAAAATTAGGTAAACTTAATACAGGTGCATGTGTGAGCTTGTGTTTAAGTAATTGGAAAGACTTAGCTTGTTCTTCTTCCCATTGGAATGGCACATTTTTCTTGATAATGGCTGTAAGTGGGGCAGCAATGGTGCTGAAATCCTTGACAAAGCGTCTATAGAAGCTTGCCAAGCCATGGAAACTCCTTACCTCACTTACACTGGTTGGTATTGGCCATTCATTTATGGCCTTCACCTTTTCTTGGTCAACTCGTATTCCCTGGTCACTCACAACATAACCTAGGAAGACAAGTTGATTAGTGCAAAAAGAACACTTCTTAAGGTTAGCATAGAGGCTCGCCTTTCGATGTGCATCTAAGACCATTCGTACATGCACAACATGCTCTTCTGTACTCTTACTATAGATCAATATGTCATCAAAGTAGACTACCACAAATTTACCAATAAAAGAACGCAAAACATGGTTCATTAATCTCATGAAGGTACTAGGTGCATTAGTTAAGCCAAAAGGCATGACCAACCACTCATACAGACCATGTTTTGTTTTAAATGCTGTTTTCCACTCATCCCCTTCTTTCATGCGTATTTGGTGATAACCACTCTTCAAGTCAATCTTAGTAAATATAATAGCACCATGTAACTCATCAAGCATGTCATCTAATCGAGGTATGGGATGGCGATACTTTACCGTTATGGCATTTATGGCTCTACAATCGGTGCACATCCGCCATCCTCCATCTTTCTTTGGCACAAGTAGGACAGGTACAGCACAAGGACTTAAACTCTCTTGAATCCAGCCCTTACCAAGCAAGTCCTCTACTTGCCTTTGTTGCTCCTTAGTTTCCTCCGGATTAGTCCTATATGGTGCCTTATTAGGAAGGGAAGAGCCAGGAATGAAATCAATTTGATGTTCTATTCCCCTCAAAGGTGGCAACCCATTAGGTATATCCTCAGGAAATACGTCTTGGTACTCCTGTAAAAGGTCAGCAATAGCACTAGGCAAGGAAGCACCAAGTTCATTAGTGAGCAAAGACTCTTTACAAAACAAGATAAGCAAAATCTGGTTAGAGTGCAAAGCCTTTCGTACATCTCTAGTTCTAGCAAGCATGATGGATTTTCTCTCCTTTTTCCCTTCAATGGCCGAATGTGAAGTGTCAATTTTAGGAGAAGATGGTTCGGCCAATTTGCTCTTTGTATCATGCAAATTTTTCTTTTTATTGTCACAATGCATGTCATATTCCTTTTGCAACCCAATTTGGTCCTCATGCACTTGTTGAGGTGTAAGAGGTGCAAGTGTGATCTTTTTGGTATTATGCACGAAGGAATACTTATTCAAGAATCCATCAAAAATGACCCTTTTATCAAATTGCCATGGCCTTCCCAAAATAATATGAGTAGCTTGCATAGGCACAACATCACATAAAACATCATCTTTATATCTACCAATGGCAAAATTAATTAAAACTTGCTTATGAACACGTACCTCACCACTATTATTCAGCCATTGTAGTTTGTAAGGTCGGGGGTGATCACTTGTTGGCAAGTTCAATCGTTCCACCATGAGTGCACTAGCAACATTGGTACAGCTCCCTGGGTCAATTACCAAGCTACAAAGCTTGTCCATCACATGGCACCTTGAGTAAAATATGTTCTCTCGTTGAAGGTCATCTCTACTAGCTTGAGTAGTTAGAGCTCGCCTTGCAACCATACCAACTTTACCATGAGCTGGTATCTCCTCAAATTCCTCATCTTCCTCAACCAAGGGAGGCATGTCCTCACACTCATCCTCCTCATCCGTTTGTACTTCCCCATTTGGTAGCATAAGCATAACCCTTTGATTTGGGCATTGGGAAGCAATATGTCCAAACCCTTGACACTTAAAACACTTAGTGTCTCGGTATCGAACTTTGCTTACCTCATGAGTAGGCCTACCATCGCCCCTTGAGGGTGGTTTTGAGGAAGGTGCATTCGGCCTTAGTGACTCCTTGGTTGTCCCACCTTGTTTGACCAAGGGGAATGCACTAGAGGGGTTGACTTCCCTCTTGAAGGGTTGGCTTCTCCAATTTCCAGCTTGGAAGTTGGGATTTTGTCGAATTGGACCCCTCCTCTTGAGCCTCCTTTCAATCTTAATAGCCTTGTCTAGCATATCATGGAGGTCCACATAATGGTGCATCTCCACTTGATCCGCTATTTCAGGCCTCAATCCACTTAAAAATCGTGCCATAGTAGCTTCCCGGTCCTCGACAATGTCGGCCCTTAACATGGCTATCTCCATCTCCTTATGATAGTCCTCCACGCTTTTGCCTCCTTGTGTTAAATTTTGAAGTTTGAGGTACAAGTCACGGTGGTAGTGACTAGGAACAAAGCGTTTCTTCATGACACCCCTCAACATGCTAATGAGATGTATAATATGCTGGAAAAACACCCTAAGCTGTCCGCCTAAAAAAAAAAAAAAAAAGAAAAGAAACCAAAAGAAATAAAAAAAAGGAAAGTTTGGTTTGTGACTAGTAGCTAATTTTAGGAGTTAACTACCATATGGAATCCAAAACTGATTAGGACTCTTGGGACTTGTAAACCACGTTTTTATTGGCTGGAAATTCTATAAAAATAGGCACCAGAGGTCGGCTGGGCAGTTGGCACAAACCGCAATCAAGAAACAAAAGCAAGAGGCGGCTACAAAGTAGGAAACCCTATCTTATCCTCCCACCTTTTGTGGCTATTTAATAGCAAGGTTTCTTGGTTGTTTTGGGGTGTTAATGGCTGCTGGTTTTCTGGTATTCGTGGACAAAGAGATGCGGCCAATAGTTCAAGATTGAAGGCAACAAGGTTTGGTCTTTCAACCCAAGTTCGGCTAGGCTACCCAAGCAAACTATTTCTTGTTCTTGAAATCCGATTTGTGTGTTTTTGTATTTTTTTTTTTTTTTTTTTTTTTTTTTTTTTTTTTTTTTTTTTTCCTTTTTCTGCAAGATGGATCTTTCTTTCTTTTTCAATTCGGATCCCACACACAAGAAACAAGATCTTTGTCAAATTTGAGCAAGGCAGCCGCAACTTTGAGCCAAGAACTTTGGTTTTGTTTTGAAGGTTCAAGATTTGGAAAAAGTTGAGAACAAGATTTTCAAGAACCCTTGTTTTCCCACCCAAGAACTTCAAGATTCAGTCAAAATTTCCAGATTTCAGGAGTTTGAACAACAATATTCAACAAAAACTTGATGGCAGCCCACGAAAATTCAAGAAACTACAAAACCCTAACTTCAAGAAATTCAAGATATCAACTTTGCAGCCCAAGAACTTCAAGATTCAATCCCCACAATATCAAGGACGCTAGGAAATTTCAAGGTCAGCCATGGTTTCATCAAGACACAACCAGAAAATAGGTTTTTCCCTCTCTTTTTCGGATGAACAGTGTTTTCGGGTGAATAGTACCCGATGAACAGTACCCCTTTTTTTTTTTGTTTTTTTTTTTGGATGACTCTATATGAATTCAAGACTTCAAGATACAAGACACAAGACCCACGAAATCAAGACACACGATGGATGAATTGCGGACAACAACAAACATGAAAATTCAAGACAATCAACGAAACAAGGATAAACAACAAGAACCAAGACAAAACCCTAGCCGCTTATGGAATTCCTAAACGACCAGAATTTGACACTATAAGAAACGGAAAAAATTTTTCTTCTTTTTTTTTTAAGGAAAACTTACAAGATGCAATGGGATATACTTGATGTCGTCGACTAGCTCGTGATACCAACTGATATGAATGTGTGGATCTAGACGAACAATCAAGTTGAAAAGGCGGCACGTATGACCCTTCTAAACCCCGAGTTGATGAACTAAGATGAATCTCAACCCACAACTAACGATTTAGTGAACCAACGATCTGGATAGAAGAACGCCACAATCAAGGTGTATACTTGGTTGATAAGTTCAGGTTGAATAACTCAAGAAAACTCTCAAGTATTCAAGCAAAGCTCTCTTGGAAGAGAAAAGTGAATAAACTCACAAATATAATGTAATTTCTGGATCCCTTAACAAGGAGGAAGTAAGGCTATTTATAGCCTTTACAAGCATTAACCCTAATCCCCAAAATTGACTAAACTAACCCTACTAATTAATGACAAGGATTCGGCCAGCCCTAAGAGTTTAATGGACTGACTTTAACTAATATTTAACTATAAAAAGATAAATAATAGAACTAGCTTAACTCTTCCTTAAGCGTGACCACTAGGTGAGGCACGCCTAACTAGCAACAGGCGCTGGAGGGTCTTCTACTTGGAGCAATGTGTAAAGTTTTGAATCTTCATTCTCCAAGCCTTCAATAATCTTTAAATCATCTCCAATGCGGCCTTGGATTGTACTCACAAGGGCTTGTAAAGATTCACGCATCTTCTTGGCACGAGCTCTTGTGACTGGACCACTTGGTACTTGAATGACTTGTGCAACTTGTGTTTGACCAGCCTTGAGCCCCTCATCAATTTGGCTATCGATGTCTTCTTAATGCTTATAGCCTTGTATCTTAGCTTTCAAATGGCTTTGGAATCACTTGAATTGGAGTTGTATATTCTGAGATATGACTGAAGGAGTCAGGACTGCCATAATAAACTTCGAATTGGAAAATCTGGAGTTATTTTGGTAAATTTGACCTAGATACATTGCAAACTGGACTGAGTGGCCTTCTTCAACCTTGTAGCCCCTTGTCTTACCTTCAAAATGGTATAAGTTTCACCTCAATCCGATAAGCGTAGCCTCGGATGTGCCCATTCCGTAAAACCCCGTCAAAACTGTCTTTTGTAAACTTCGTTTCCACACTTGTTGTTAGCTTAAATTTTTGTCCTTGTCAATGTCTTGAGCATATTGAGTGGTTGTTTATGTTGTGTGTAATGTTGGGATTGATTGAGGAAAACAATGAAGCCATAAATGGCTGGAAAATAGGTAAATACAAAGGGCGTGCTGCCCAAATTTTCGCTCAAGGACTAATTTTCTATTTGAACTTGTATATTTTCGTTTAGCAAATACTATGACCGTTTTTCCATCTTAAAACATGGTCCTTCTTTAATTGGAAACTCCAAATGTTTGCTTACTCTTACCAAATAAAGAGAAGTGGTTTAGGATTTTCTTGGGTACTTTGTTCTCCTTTTTACATGAATTTCATTAAGACCTTTAGTTTGTAAAATCTACTTGAATATGAGGTGATTTTGAACCATATAAACGATTCCGAAAACAGTATTTCTTAGCCTATCTAGTTGGATTCCGACTTGTCTTTGGTTCAAGTGTTTTCATTGGAAAATTTTATAATTCTTTTGAGTTTGGTTTTACTTTTGGTCTACGAAACCCTAATTATTTTGTCTACAGGTCTAAATGTCCTCGTTTCACTTTAAATACCTAATTGTTTATGCTAGATGAGCTGTAATATTCTGTCTCGTTAACTTTAGGTTTTCTCGGTGACTAAGGATAATATCCGGAAGGATATTTTGCAAGTCGTTTTGCGCACATAGGTGAGTGTTCCTTGTTTGTTATATCTTCCTTGACTTCATGACTTGTTGTTATTGTTTGATCATGTGCTAAATGTTTCCAATGATTTCCAAAACGAATTTTCCAGGCGAGCGTGTACTTTATCGCGCTCGACCTAAATGAAACGTGAAATTTTCAATGCTTTAATGATTAATACATTAGTTGCGCATGATGTAAGCCTTTTGGCTGAATTGGGCCCTGCCCTTCGTTACTGATCGACTCGAGCTAGAAGCGGACTCGGTTGGGCGATATGGTGACCCTGGGTGAACGTTTGGTATACTCGAGTATTACCTTGTAGTCCGGACAATGTCCGGATGGGTGGAGCCTGGCCAACGGGCGGGAAGGGGGTGAAAGAACGAACGAAAGAACGAACGAAGATTTTAATTACAAAATGCATTTTTCAAAAGAATGAAGGAATAAAGGGAAATGTCAGGAGAACGAACGAACGAACGAATTTATGGCTCCTTGTGAGCCCGTATCCTTTTAATGAACGTGCTACTATCGCTTTCCATTGTAAATGTTCTTGAATTATTGATACTCCATGTTTCATGTATTGAAATGATTATTTGATTATGTGTTCGGAACCTCACTGAGCTTTTAGTTCACCCCTTTAGTTTTGTTTTCCTTAACAGGGGACGGCGAACAGGATGAGAGCATAGACTAGCCTAGTCTAGTTCTTTTGTTTTTTTTTTTGTAATGGTTCTCGTCCCAGTGCTTGGCTCGGGCTGGACGTATGAAGGATTGAGAACCTTTGTACATTCGATGTTTATACTCTCTTTTGGGTTGGAAATGTATATAAGTTCCGCTTTAAGTTTTGGATCGTTGCCCTATTTATTCTTGTGATTTTATTCCGATTTCATTTAAGAGCTGTACTAAGTGAGTGAGTCCCGGCGAGAGTTGGGCAGGCGACCCGCCAAACCCTTTTGGTTCGCCTTAGGGGGAGGTAGGGCTGTCACACCCAGCCAGCCGACACATCAAACCCTAAACAACCGAATAGAGGAGGGGATAAATCTAGAGTGCCATCTAGAATATATGCTTGAGACCACCAAGGTACAATTCATGTTTTCCCTTGTCTGGCTACATGTTTGGCTAATGGTGAGATTTGAGAGCTAAAAAATGACATGCAAGAAAAATACCATGAGCTATTTAAGGATATCTGCATGAATTTCAAGGATGAAATTCTCTTAAGGGGGAGAGAGGGTGATGACTCGTAAAATTCCTTATATTTTTCTTAAAATTCCCTTTAATTTGGAATTTATTACTTTACAATAATTTTAATGCACATGCCCTTCCTCAATAGCTACAAATAATCATAGAATTAAGGGTTTTCCCTTTCGTTTTCAAGTTAGCGCGAATTAAGGTTTTACGCCTATCCGTGGTGTGCCTATCCGGTACGGAGTGGGGATCAAATTCGGTGATTAAGAGTGAGTTTTAGATGATATTAAGTGTATGATTAGAAGTGATAATAATAAGTTAGTGAATTATAAGTTAAAACCCTAGTATACGCGATTTAAGGAAAATCAGCTCGAACCGACGGGTATCGTTTACTACTGATTGAATACACCATTTAACCACCACTTCATTAACTTAATCCCATTGTTATTAGAGCCAAAATATCAGCCCATAATCAGCATGTGATGGCCGAAATTCTTGACTAAGAAAGCCAAGGAAAAGAAAAAAAAATTGAGGAAGATCTTGGAGTGACATTTGGCGAACATCTAACCATCTTTGGCCAAATTGAAGTCCAAGTTTGATACGTTCTTCGATCAACTTGTTTCGAGACACGTAGCACGTTTGCCCAAGGATCTAGCGAGGTTGTCCTATGCTTGGATTGCGGGACCTTAAATCAACACGGATGACACGAGTTGGTTTACAGC